AACAAATAGACTGAATAGAATATTCCAGCTTAAATCATTAGATGACAGGCAGTGCAGCAGAGGGACTGAATTGCCACGCTCCTCTGTCCCAACTAAGTATGACCTAAAGAGCATACCCATACCATACATTTAAACCTTGAAGCTGAATTATTGCAATGCGTGCTCCATGGAGCTGCCCTTGGTCCTGGTCCTTGCTCCTTGCTCCAGCTGGTGCAGAATGCAGTGGCCAGATTGTTGATGGGGCATCTGGCTGAGAACATGCAACACCTTAGTTAAAGCATCAGCCCTGCCGGCCCATCTACTACAGAGCCAGGCTCAAGGTCCTTGTGCTAATTTACAAAGCCCTGAACAACTTAGGTCTAGGGTACCACAAGGACTGCCTGACCCCATCCTCCCTATGTCAATCCCCCTTAAAATCTCACCCTCCCACCCTCTGCTTTGTACACGATTGGGCAGAAACAGCTGGTTACTTATTTTTATGTATATGGGAGGGGGGACATAGGGAGGTTTTCTGCCTTGCCCTGCACTACAATGGATCCTAGGGCCACTGTTGGTTCCTGGGCAAGTTAATACACCTGCAAGGCCTTCTGACTGCAGGAAAATGCTTCCCTTGAAATCAAACTTAAATAGCCTAAGGAAGCAGGCTGTGCAGTCATCAGTGCTGGTTAGCTGACAGGAGGCAGCTGCAAGACCTTTGCCCAGCATGCTTTAAAATCAAGCCACATGGGCAAAGGAACATTTCCCCTTTGCAGAAGAGACCAGCTTGAATAGAGTGGGGAACATAGGATGATTGACAAGCAGGTGTCCCCATGCACTTGTCTCTGGTAGCTGAAGAGGCAAACTTTGGAAGGAATTCACAGGGGCATATTTTAAAGGTCTAACAGCCTATATTTTCATGCTCTGTTTTGCTGCATATTGTGTGATTTTAAATTTTTGATGGAGTTCTCTTGAGAACTTCTCCCACCAAAGAGTACTTGCCCTGGATCTTGGTATCCAGGGAATTCTCCTTTGATATTTATTTATTTTCCCTTGCCACCAACAGGCTCTGTCCAGGTAAAGCCAACAGGATGTCCTCCAGATGTTATTGAACTGTCAATCAGACCCAGCCCACATGGCCAAATGTCAGGGATGGTGAGAATTGAGATTTAAAATGTTCACAATGTTGTTGGGAAGATCCGCATCATACATCAAAAGTACATCCAGTGTTCATTTAAAGCACATCATTTCCCCCAAAGAATCCTGGGAACTATAGTTCGTTACAGGTGCAGGGAATTGTAGCTGTGCGAAACACACACGTTCTTCAGATTTCAGCCTTCTCACGGTTAATAACTGTAAAGTCTGTTCAACCAAACTACTATTATTACCATCACCATTATTTTACAACCAAAGTGGACACTGGTGCACCATACGCAATATCAAAATAACCAACAAATGAGTAATACACAGCTTAACACTATATTTCGCTTTGTTACAGAATGGCATAAGATAGGTACCAGAATTGGCCAAATTGGGAATCGTTCTGACAAGTAACACTGAAGAGGGAAACTTATCTAAGGAAGAACCAAGAACAAAGAGATTGCCAAATATTTTTTTCATATGAACTCATACTACTTGGAGACATGGGTTTCTATCTAACTGCTATACAGTGGTACCTCGGGTTAAGAACTTAATTCGTTCTGGAGGTCTGTTCTTAACCTGAAACTGTTCTTAACCTGAAGCACCACTTTAGCTAATGGGGCCTCCCGCTGCCGCCGCGCCGTCACCGCGGGATTTCTGTTCTTATCCTGAAGCAAAGTTCTTAACCCGAGGTACTATTTCTGGGTTACGGAGTCTGTAACCTGAAGCGTCTGTAACCTGAAGTGTCTGTAACCCAAGGTACCACTGTATTTAGAGTAGACTTGTTAAAATTTATGGAACTGAGTCATGTCAGTAGGTCTACTCTGAGTAGGACTAGCATTGCCAGCAACCCATGGTGTTCTGAAGGACCCCTTTGTATGAATAATGAAACCTCACCAAGTTCCCATTCTGCCCTGCCCCTTTGTACCTTTGTGTGATGAATTATTTTTTCTGAGATGGCTATTAATAAAAACCTTTTTGATACCAGGTGTCTATGATAAGTTCACTTGCAGCCTTCTAGTCCTATTACCAGCCTGCGGGCCACCAGCAAAATACCGTATTTTTTGCTCTATAAGACGCACCAGACCACAAGACGCACCTAGTTTTTGGAGGAGGAAAACAAGAAAAAAAATATTCTGAATCTCAGAAGCCAGAAAAGCAAGAGGGATTGCTGCACAGTGAAAGCAGCAATCCCTCTTGCTGTTCTGGCTTCTGAGATAGCTGCGCAGCCTGCATGCGCTCCATAAGACGCACACACATTTCCCCTTACTTTTTAGGAGGGAAAAAGTGAGTCTTATAGAGCAAAAAATAGGTAATTACTACTTGGGGTAGATGTTTCAGTCTCTTTTTAAAAAAGACTATGTGAAATGCCAGCAAGGCTAAACTTTTCATCTGCAGCAACACTTACATACCAGGCCCGTTCCAGAGAAAAGGGCTGCATATGCAATATACCTTGAAAGCACATTTGAAGCACACAGCCTCTCCAAGAATGCTGGGCACTGTTGTTTGTTAAAGGTTTCTGGAAATTGTAACTCTGTGAGGGGTAAACTACAGTGCCCATAATTCTTTGAGGCAAAGAATGTGCTCTGAATGTGCTTTGAAGGTACAAGGTGTACTGAGCCTGCAAAGCTTGTGCATATGTAGTGGCCTTATAAGCAAAAGAAATCCCATTCTCAGGCTGCGTGGTTTGAATCTCAAACAGATGAAGAAGACCTCTGAAATTGCCTTCCCCAGTTCTTCCCACCCCCACCCTGACGCAAAATCCCTGGATCTGGTGCTGCTCATTGACCTGTTTGTCCTCTTCTTTATGTGATCTAAGCACTCCCATCTGTAGCACTAGAACATTTTACACTTGAGTCCTTTTTAAAAGTGGATCACAAAAGCAAGTACTGCTGACTGGGTAGGTCTTGGGGGGGAGCAGTCCATATTTACCTGGGAGCCAAGTCTCATTTTACTCAGCAGAACTTACTTCTGTGTAGATGTGCCAAAGATCATTCCCATCTAACAGTGCAAGCCTAGCCACATCTACTCAGAGATCAGTCCTACTGAATTCAACGGGGCTTACTCTCAAGAAGAAGAAGAAGAGTTTGGATTTGGTATCCCGCTTTATCACTACCCGAAGGAGTCTCAAAGCGGCTAACATTCTCCTTTCCCTTCCTCCCCCACAACAAACACTCTGTGAGGTGAGTGGGGCTGAGAGACTTCAGAGAAGTGTGACTAGCCCAAGGTCACCCAGCAGCTGCATGTGGAGGAGCGGGGAAGAGAACCTGGTTCCCCAGATTACGAGGCTACTGCTCTTAACCACTACACCACACTGGTTCAAGTAGGATTGCAGCCAAAGTGAGATGTAGAGCATTGGACTGGGATGTGAGACCTACATTCAAATATGCACACAGCCTCAAAAGTTTCTGGTGACCCCTGTTTCTCACCCTAACCCACCTCACAGGGTTGCTGTGAGAATAAAATGGGGAGGGGGAGAACCATGTATGCCACACCATATGAAGGACCTCATAAATCCAGAATCCAGCTGCACCACTCAGAGAGTCTGTCCACTCAAGACCTTTCTCACCCAGCATCGTGTTCTTGCAGTGACCTGACAAACAGGAAACTCACAAACAGATCTGAGTGCAACAGTAACTCTACCCACTTGTGACTTCCAGCAAGCAATACTCAGAGGCATACTCCCTCCAACAGTAGCAGGGGTGACCACTTGAATAAAATATGGGGGTAGGTAAGCCCCGCCCCACATAAATTGATGGCATGACGCAGTGCACACACACCATTTGGATGGCAACGTTCATCAACTTTGGGGTCCCTGGACCCCCAAATATTTTATTGGGGTGGGGAGCTGAAGGGACATTGGTCCCTAGGAGTTGGTTCCTATGAACAGTGGAAGGGGAATCTAGGCTATCCTCTGTAAAGTTACCTAACCCTCTTTTAAATCCACCCAAGCTGTTGATTATCACTGCAGTTTGTAGGAAATTGCACAGCTTAACTCTGTGAGATCCTGAATTTTCCAGTGTTCAGCTCCATTGGTTCTCCCTCCCCTCAAGCTCTAGTAATAGGAGATGTGGAGAAGTAACCCCCCCAACACACACACACACACACACACACACAATTCTCTGGAAAGTCTACTGGAATTACTTCTACTTGTTCCTTGCAACTGCTGAGTAACACAGACAATCCTAGAGCAAACCGGGGGAGATGATCCCAATAATACCAAATAATAACGAATCACTAATAATAAGGATGCAAGTGCTATTGTCGTAGGATAGATGGCCACCGCTCTGGAAACCCTGCTCAGGCGTGCAATCCTGGTCCAGGGTGCTCTCCTGCGTGCTGACACCCCGAAAATACCCCCTGCCAGATGGCAAACTGCTCCAGCCCAGCCGGACCGGCAGGGCAGCTGCAGTTCTCGCGTTTGAGGCAGCTGGGATGGAGAGAGAGACCGGTCCAAGGCTTGGGCTGCCGCGGAACTGGTGCTCCTTATGCCCTTTCCAGGATGCTGAGCGCCTGTTGAATCCCACAGGTTGCTGAGCATCCCTCCTTCCCCTCCCTCCCTCCCTGATTCCTTATCTCATGTCTCCTCTCTCTGTGTGGCTTTCTCTCACACACTGTCTCTCTCACACACAGAGCACAGAAGCGGGAAAAGGTTTCCTGTCGGCTTGCCATCGTCTAGACCGGTCCAGCCCGTTCTGGACCACTGAGCCCAGCAAGCGGAGCGAGCGAGCGCTCAGGAACCTGCAAAGTTGATCCGGCATCTCTCCCCGCGACACCTCCCCGTTTCCCGGCTCATCTCTCCTTCCAGACAAGGTAGGAAAGACGGGAAAGCAAAGCAGCGACTTTCTCTTCTTGATCTCTCCTTTTTTCTTTTTCTTTTTGGAGGGGGGGGGCGAGGGGTGTTACAGATTGGCCTCTGCTGCGGTGCCAGGGGCTGCGTTCCTTCTGCGTGCCTGTCTGTTGTCTGCACTTTTCTTCCCATAGCGCCGTATTCCATGTCTAGTTAGTTGTGTGTGTGTATCTGGGCACTTCACCTTTCTACAGGCTATAGCAGCTCCCACTTAGAGGAAGAGAGAGAGAGAGAGAGAGATATTCTGCTTTCCAAAGCATCATTTTCCACCAGTCTCTTAAGGGATGTTGTTGGCAAAGGGGAGGCAGAGTTGGGTGGAATTGGGTGGCAAAAGGCTGGGGCAGCACAGAACCCCCTTTGCTGGCTGAAATGAGTGTGTGTGTGTGTGTGTGTGTGTGTGTGTGTGTGTGTAACAGCACCAGAGCCCCAGTTTCGAAAAAACAACCCTTCCAAGGTGCCATTGAAGGTGCTGGATCCATCCAACCTCTACATTCAGACTTGTTTTGATGGTCGGTGTCTCTCTGGAGGATATAGGAATAAAGAGTTGCATGAGAACATCACAGGCTCCCTCAAGCTGCCTGAATATCATCTCTGACCTCTTTAACACGATCCATATATCCTGCAGAGGCTTTTATCTCTTTCATTAATTACCTTCTCTATGGCTGCTAAGCTGCTAGATCATATGAAACATCATGAACTGTAATCCTCCCCTCTCTCCTCCCTCCCCTCTTCTCTTCTTCCCCACCATTGCTTCTGCCCTCTCTTCCCCTCTTGTTACATGCAGATTGTAAGCTGTGCAGGGCAGGGACCTGGTCTTACGTAGCTCTGGAAAGTTCCATGCACTTTGACTGTACTGTATCAGCACATTGTTATTTGTTAAAATAATCTTGAACCTTTGGTAAGCTATGATTTTTTGCAGTGCTTTCAAAATGGTTTCATCTCGCAGCGGGGGGGGGGGGGTCTAGGGCTGAGAGTCAAGTGCTTTGCCCACCCCCAAAGTCTTTCCCCCACAAGTGCATGTTTCGGACCAGTTAGTAGTGAGAGAAGAGCGTTTTGGGCACATGTTTTGAAGCATAGCTTCAGTTTGACGAATCACCTTTGCATTTCACCCAGGGGGGCTGAGGCACTGCATGATAAATACCGGTAGGTTCTGGAGCTAATTGCCACTTGATTCAGATTAAGTCTCACTCTCAAACAGGATTGGCTGCATTTTTTCCCCATTTTTTTCTTTTCATTTTTTGAAATTGCAAGGTTACTATTAGACTCCGTTGGAGCTACTGCGTCTACCCACCCATACCATTGTTGTGGAGAAATCAACACCATGACAGCTTAAATACATGATCTCAACTCTAGTGTGTGATACTCAGACTTGGTACAGTCCCTCCTGGGCTAGCAGAGTGTGTGAAATCTCAAGATTTGAATGTGCCATTGCTAAACCTTGGAGCTCCGTTTCACTCCTTGCACTTTTAAGAATTCCCCAGGGGCATTCAGTAGAAATCTCATGTCCTCACATCTTCCAAAGGACCTTGGCATTTACTATTTCACCACTTCCAAAAACATGAGGAAATTAACTGGAAATACTATATTCTAGCAACAAGAAAACTTAACATTCATCTGGTGTGGTTGAGAGTCCAGTACGCTTTGACTAATCACTCTAACAGCCTTGTGTAATTTGAGGTAGGTCAGTATAGTTATCCCCGTACTGCAGATGGGAAGACTGAGGCCAAGCGAATAGGCAGTTACCTAAGGGTAGCTCTTGAGTTTGTGGCCGAGGGCAGATCTGAACTGAGGACATCCTGGTTCACAGCTGAGTTTTGGACAAAGATCCTGTAGTCCTCATACTGGCCAGCTGCATATTCCTGCATTGCAGGGTGCTAGATGATCCTCAGGGTCCCTTCCAACTCAACAATTCTATGATTCCTGACATGCTGGAGGGCCACTTATGCTCATACTGGTGAAAAAGCACAGGAGATGAGGGCACAGAGGCCTTCTGCTCTGTTTAGACTCGAGTCTCCCATGGTGATGATTTGATGGTTGCAGTGGGGAGTATTGGGTCTTCTCTTCCCTGCCTAATTAGGTTTCCTCTCTTCCCCCTACCCCATAAGTGCGCCATTGTAGAGACTAGGAGATGGACGGTACAAAGACCGCATTCAAACCACAAATTTAAAGCATTCTACCACATTAAGCAGTTTGCTGAGGGAGCTGAGAGTTGTTTGGAGACCCCTTTCCCCCCTCCCAGTGCTACAATTCCCAGAGTTCTCTGTGAAGAGGGATTGATTGTTAAACCGCTCTGAAAACTGTAGCTGTATGAGGAGAATAGGGGTCTTTGTGCACCCATAACAAACCAGAGCTCCCAGAATTCCTTGGGGGAAGGAGCCATGACTGTCAAAAGTAGTATTATAGTGCTTTAAATATATGGTGTGAATATGGCCCAAATCCAGAAGAAACCAACGTTATTTTCAGTCCGTGATTCTGAAGCAAAGTCCCTTCTAACAGCATTAAATCCACTGGACAGAAAAATATATATATATATATATATATATATATATATATATATATACCGGTATATATATACTGGGCACCAACTTCATTGGTATCCTAGACTTGCCCAGCAATAAGGCTGAGAAGGTAAAAGTGATGCCACCACAAAAATTGGAGCAGCTATGACAGCCACGCCCCCAACATGAAAAGAAACACCAATGATTCCCACCAATCACAGGCTGATGATGCAGCCACATCTGTATGCCAGCCAGTCCACTCACTAAAGTAGGGAGACACTAGGGGTGGACAAATAAATCGATTTTGGCTTTCCCTTTGTCAGTTTCGGTTTTCCAATCTCAGAATAACAACGTTTCTGCAGCAATTTGCGATCTTTAAAAACACACAAAATCATGAAAATTTATCACAATTTTCGTGCAAATGTGCATGTTTTTGCAAGCTATTTGCCTAATGAAATGCTTCTTTGTGTGATGAACATTTCCCACGGGGTGTGCATATTTGTACACACTGGTTGGTTGAGAAACTGCACCCCCAAAACCAGAGGCATGCAAATTTTGAAGGATCATTTTATGTTGGTTTTGATATTGCAGCGTAAGAGGAGGACAGGATCTGGTCAGTGGGCAAGATTCTTATTTCAGCACACACACACACACCACAGAGTGAGTCAGCAGTCATTCACACTGTGCAAAGCTGGAGTTAACCCTTTACAGTATTAGCAAAAACATAACCCTCACAGATTTGGCTGAGTGCCAGGCCTAATGAGCACAGCAGCTCATCCCGGGTAGGTCTTTCCTCATGAATCAGTTGCCAAGACTGAAAATCCCCACCTGCTCACAGCCATCTAAGTCCCATCCTCTACAGGGCGTTTCCCAAGCAATCTGAGATTGAACTGTGTGCAGCTTGCTGCTGCTCCACCTGTTTCAGTCCTCTTCTGTTTCTGGGAAAAAGTGGGAAGGGGAGCTTGTCGCAGCAGAAGGGGAAAACTCCCATGACTCTTCACCAGCCTGATTCCTCTCTGCCTCTGGCCCTCCCTCCTCTGTTGTTTCAGCCTCAGCTTCTGATTCTAGACTTCTCTCTGTCACAGACTCTCCCAGCTCACTAAGCCCTGTTACCTCGTCAGCTTCCAACACCTCCTCTTCCTAGTTTTCTCCCTCCGACTACTCATCGTTGTCCCACCACCATTCCTTGGGCTCTAAGCTTTCTTCCCTTGGTGGTTCCTCAGCTGGTTCCTCCCACTATTCCTCTGCATCCAACCAATCTAGGACATCCAGCTTGACCCGAGGCCACCCACTTGTCACAATGTCACATTCACTCGATGCTATACCAGCTGCACTGGCTCCCGGTGGAGTACAGGATCAGGTTCAAGGTGCTGGTCTAAACCTTTAAAGCCCTATACGGCCTAGGACCCTCGTACCTACAGGACCGCCTCTCCTAGTATGTCCCACAGAGGACCTTACGGTCTTCAAACAAAAACATCTTGGAGATCCCAGGTCACAGGGAGGTTAGGCTGGCCTCAACCAGAGCCAGGGCTTTTTCGGCCGTGGCCCTGATCTGGTGGAATGCTCTGTCACAAGAGACTAGGGCCCTGCAGGACTTGACATCTTTCCGCAGGGCCTGCAAAACAGAGCTGTTCCACCAGGCCTTTGGCCAAGGCACAGTCTGACCCCCTCCTTCGGTAATCCTCACAGAACTCTAGCCCAATGGTTGCCATTAATTTGATTTTGAATTGATTTCAGAATGCATTTCAATTAATTGATTTTATGTAAACTGTGTTACTTTTATTGTTGTTAGCCACTCTGTGCCTGGCTTTGGCTGGGGAGGGCGGGATATAAATAAAATTTTATTTTTATCATCAGGTTGCCCATTTGGGTGACAAATAAAACAAAAAAAGTTGTTCCCAAGCTGCCTTTATTGAACAGCTTCTGAGATCAAGTGGGCTTCAGAAAGAAAATCTCAGTCAGTCACCTAGGCAGGGCTCCTCTGCACTTAACAGTTGCACAATGAGCAACAATGAGCAGGGGAAAAGGCGCCATGTGCAGCATGGGCCCATCTCTATGCCAGGAATGGCTTCACCTGTTGTATAGCTGTCCGTCATGGGGCTTACTGGAGCTTGGCTGGAACCAGCAGGTTTGGAACTCCATGAAGGGTTAGCTGCTGATCACATGGTGGGGCTCCACAAAAGCGGACACCTGAAGCATCCCGTGAACTGTACCTGTTGGAGAGCTGTCTGGAGTTGATGATGGCCTTTGCCTAGCAGTCCATCGCTAAATATTCCACAAACGAAACAATATTAAAAATACAATTTATAATAATCTTAGAAAGCGAACGGAAAAGAAGAGAAGGGAATTAAACATCCATTCTTACAACAGAGCAGTTTACAGCATGGATTTAAAACACAGTTTTGAAGTGTGGGTGAATAAAAAGTTTTTCACCTGACACAGAGGAGAGCCTCTCTGGGAATGCTCTTAAGAGCCATGGTGCTGCTGCCAAATAGGGGTGGGAACCTGGAAGTGCAGGAGCTCATCATGAGACCCCCCTGCCCAGAGCCACACAACCAAGGAGCAGCCAAAAAGAAGTTTAAAACTAACTTCTCTCATGCAACGTCTCACTTGCCTTTTCTGTAAACGTCCCAAATGCAGCAACCTTTTCTCACATTTTGGTTGCCCTTTTCTGAACCTTTTCCAACTCTGCAATATCCTTTTCATGGTGAGTCAATTACAACTACAGTGGTACCTCGGGTTAAGTACTTAATTCGTGCTGGAGGTCCGTTCTTAACCTGAAACTGTTCTTAACCTGAAGCACCACTTTAGCTAATGGGGCCTCCCACTGCTGCGGCACCACTGGAGCACAGTTTCTGTTCTCATCCTGAAGTAAGGTTCTTAACCCGAGGTACTATTTCTTGGTTAGTGGAGCCTGTAGCCTGAAACGTATGTAACCTGAAGCATATGTAACCCGAGGTACCACTGTATACACAATATTCCAAATGTGGTCGCACCATAGTTTTGCATAATAACCGTTCTGATATCTGTAGCTTTGATTTCGATTTCTTTCCCATTGCTCCCTAGCATGGAAGTTGCCTTTTTCACAGCTGCTGCACACTGTGTTGACACCTCCATCGAGCTATCTAATATGACCCCAAGGTCTACTAGGACCCTTGGTCTGTTACTGCCAATTCAGACCTCTTAAGCATATGTGTGAAATGAAAATTATTTTGCCTTAACATGCAGCGGTGGAACAAGCTGATCAGGCACCTGGGGCGGCGCGCGTGCCCTGTGCCCAGGGGCGGGGCCAGCTGACCGTGGGGCCAGGCCACCCGGGACCTGCCTCCTTCCACTCAGCCGCCCTACAGCTGAGGGGGAGGTGGTGGGTGGACCGTTTGGGGCAGTGCGGAGCTGCCAGGAGAGACGCGTGACCCGGGTGCGCTACAGGCCCCGTGGTGAGTGCTGCCCAGCATTTTGTCACCCCCATCAGTGGTGACACCGGAGGCAGCCCGTCCCTACCACATCCCCCTTCCTCCGCCACTGTTAACATGCATCCCTTTACACTTCTTCATGTTGAATTCCACTTGCCATTTTACTGCTCCTTCACTCAATTTGGAGAGGTCCTTTTTGGATCTCTTCATGATCTCTTTTTTTGCTTTGACGACCCTGTACAATTTAGTGCCATCGGCAAACTCAGCCAGCTCACTGCTCACTCCTAACTTTAGATTGTCCATGAACAAGTTAGAAAGCACAGGTCTATTCTCTGAGCACAACCCCAAGGCAGTCAAATCTCCTCGGCCTACGGCAGCCCCAGTCTGAGGAGGCCTCTCCCTGCTCCCTTGAGATTCTAGGTTCTGTCACACCTACGCTCCACTGAATCAATTTCCATTAAGACTCTGTTCTTCACATGCAATTATTAGCTGTCATATCAAGACTCCATTGTGTGTGAAACTATATTTAAATGGTGCCTTCACTCCTGGAAAATTGCAGCCCCCTCTTTTTTTTATTCACGAAACAGGTTGAGCGTTCTCCTGCTCAACTCACCCCGTGAAATGGATCCTCGGGATCCTGATCCCCAAGAATCCTTCCTTCATTTTGTGCTCTGACACACGGCGCATGGACGCACGGTTAACCTATGGAACTCATTCTCACAGGAGGCAGGGATGGCCACCAACTTAGATGGCTTTAAAAGAGGATCAGACACATTCATGGAACAGAAGGCTATTGAGGCTTCTAGCCACGATAGCTATTCTCTGCCTCCATGGTTTGAGGCAGCGATGCTTTTGAATCCCAGTTGCCAGAAACTACAGGAGGGGAGAGTGTTCGTGTGATCAGGTCCTGTTTGTGGACTTCCTATGAGGAATCTGTTTGGCTATTGTGAGAAAAGCATGCTGGATGAGATGGGCCACTGGCCTGATCCAGCAGGCTCGGTTTATGTTCTTATGAGGCTGGCAAGGAAACTAGAGGCGACACGTTGCTTAGACTGTTAAGCCAGCTCTGAAGGAGGGATTTGATCAGGTCTGCTGCCTCTCTATCAGGCTGCAAGCTCAGCTGACCTCCTCAGGACTCTGACACCATTAATTGTTGTGGAGAAGAGAAAGCTTTTTCACATGTGGTGGACATGTGAAAAAATGAGAAAATTTTGGAATATGATTTACAACAAATTGAAAAAACTGTTCAAATATACCTCCCCCCCCAAAAAAACCGGAAGCCTTTTTGCTGGGGTTGATAGGAGATGAAATAAGAAAAGCAGATCAGAGACTATTTATGTATGCTACGACTGCTGCCAGAATCTTAGTAGCCCCAAAATGGAAGACTCAGGAAATACCAACTCTAGTGGAGTGGCAGACAAAAATGGTTGAATATGTAGAATTAGCAAAACTGACCCACAGGATCCGTAACCAAGAGGAAACAAAGTTCAAAAATGAATGGAGTAAATTTATTGAGTATATAAGTAATAACTGTAGAAGTTTAAAGACTGTAGTAGGATTAAAATAAATTTTGTGATGTGTATAGGATGTTATTAAGAATCTGCGAAAAAAGAGAAAATTCAATATGAAAGCCTGTTGAAGGGAGGGAGGGAAGTCCGTGCGCGATGGAGCGTTTAGAAAATAAGTAGACATATGACTGTTGAATTTTAGAGTATTTATTTTGTTTGTTTATGTTAAAGAAAACTCAATAAAGAGCGTTTGGGGGGGCGGGGAAATGTTGGGTAGAAGAGGAGATTTCAGCAGGTGCAGCGTGCCACACAGTTATTGAAGGTGCACAAACCCTCTCCTCTTTAGCATGTAGCTACAACCTTCAGGATTAGCTGAGAGCACACAGGCTGATACTGCAGCCTATGAGACCATCTTACCTTATGGCCTGGCTGGTTGATTGTGCAAGAAGTAAGGAGCTGAAGGCTGCTGGTCACTGCAGGTCCCAGTTCAAGACACACAAACACGCACACACCCTTCAGCAGCTGACATGACGTGTGGAATGCTAATGCTGCTAACCCTTTCATGGATTGGAGGCGTAGATGAACACAAAAACACGACTCCAGTTTGCTGCCTTCTCCACTCCCCACTCCCTACATATGATTTTGCTTTGACTTGCATTTAGCAAAAATGACTGGGAGCCAGCCGAAGAAATTGCTGGCAAACAGCTCGCCTGTCGGTTCAGGGATCTGCATTGTCCAATAATCTGGCAGCCCTCAAAGATTGGCTCGGGCCACGCTCACACGCAACTCAAAAAGCAATTAATGGCCTGTCCCTTTACAATTATTCAGTTCTTTATTGAGTGCATCAGATTCTAGCAGTAAGACTTCCAATTTTGATGTGTTGCATCAATATACATGTGATATTACTGCATCTGGGAATGAGTCTTGTTTCCCTTGTCCTGTTCCTGTACGATCCCTCTGATTTACTCTGCCTGGGGTGCCTCACACACATACACACTATCTCACCCATGAATTCTGGTTTAATTTGAAGAACTTTGAACAGATGCCCATTTCTCCAACAGCTGATCCATGGTTCTGTGACCCGCTTGCTCTTCT